TTTAAGCTGCTAAAACAGAACCAAAGAATGTAACATTCATGAGAAGAAATTGGAAACAAACAATAGTTTCAAATCATATCAACCAAAGGTTTAATAGGATGAAGGCTATGAACAAAGGTTAGATTTTTAAATATCAGAAAGCTCATATTGGTTCATTTTTTTTATTATGATGAAGACAGGAAAGTCTTTATGTCATAAATATTTCACCCTTTAAAACCAAGAAAACTAACCAGAATCCATGCTAAGGAGTAGAATCAGGGTAAGTAAATAGATTGACACACAAAAAGTGTTGATAACTATCAAGCTATATATACTGAGAACAAAACTTAGGACTGTGTTACAATACTAGTTGAAGATTCTGAATACAACTTTGTTATCAAAAGTCCATGTGTGTATGAACATTATCAAAAAGTTATTTGGTAAATCAGGGTCCATCAGCATTCTGTAATCAGGGAATAGAGATGAATTCCTATTCTTTTCCTCATGAAATTATATATTTCTTACAAAATTTCAGTAAAGAAAACATCATAGAAATCATGTTCAACTCTAAAAAAGATATCTCCAAAACACAATGTATTTATCTCAAATTATTTATGAGTCCTCCAGTGACTGCACAATTTTAAACACACCATGAATGTGTAATATGTCAGTTTGAATCATATAGTTGCATATGTGGAGTAACAATCTTGGTACTTAGAGGCCATTCATGGGGTAAAAGCATCACTGGGTTAGACTGGAGCTCAGTATATGTAAGAGTTGCCTTTAGACAGTCTCTATTGAGCTAGGAACTTTCATGCCTACACACTTATCACAAGTAGCAATGTACTCAGAAATATCTATTGCAGTTTCACTGCCCCAAGTTTGCCTTGATGATTGCCTTGTTGACTGCCTCTTTCACATCTTTGTTTCTCAAACTTTAGATCATAGGATTCAGCATGGGAATCACTGTGGTATAAAACACAGCTACCATTTCCCCCTGCTCCACAGACTCTTCAGGGGGCCTCCTGAAATGCATAAATATGAGAGTCCCATAAAACATGGTAACAGCCGTCAAGTGGGACCCACAGGTGGAGAACGCCTTCTTCCTCCCATCAGCAGAGTGCATGCGTAGCATGGCTATTTCTATGAGGATATAGGAGATGAGGACCACTGAAAGGTAATACGTGAAGTTCACCCCAGCAATAACTATCATGGTGTATTCTTTGATGTGGACCCCACCACAGGCAATCTTGATGAGAGGAGGGTCAGCACAATAGAAGTGGTTATTTTCAAAATTTCCACAGAAGTACAAGCCATATGTCCACAGGGTGCATATCAGGCTAACAGAGAATCTGTAGACATAAGGCACAGAGATGAGCCAAATACAGACAGTCCTGGACATTTTACTGCCATAAAGCAGAGGGTTGCAGATGGCCATGTAGCGATCAAAGGCCATCACAGCCAAGATATATACCTCCACATGGACAAGGGCGATGAAAAAGTAACATTGCACCAGACACCCCACGTAGGAGATGGTTTTTGTCTCTGATAATAAATTTTCCAGCATTTTGGGAGTAACATTGGAAGAGAACCACACATCCACAAAAGACAGATGACTTAAGAAAAAGTATATAGGGGTCTGAAGCTGGGGACTGATGCTGATCAAAATAATCATACCAATGTTCCCTAACAGCATGATCATGTAAACTACTAGGAACACCCCAAAAAGGAGAACTTGAAGCTCCTGATGACTGATCAACCCCAGAAGAATAAACTCTGTCACATCTGTGAAATTTGGCATTGCCTTCATGGAGACCCAGGCTGTACTGTCTGTGGGAGAAAGAAAAAAAAATGGATTTGTTTTATTCTTGGAAGTCTTGAATCATGTGTATCTGTATTCTAATTCAAATAATTGAACAATTAATGTATATTTCACACAGTGTCCAATAAAAGAATATCTAGGTACAATTATTTCCTTTAGTAGGTCTTATAGGTAATGACCATCAATATTTATATCAGTTTCTTAGTCCTAAAATAGACAATTGCATTCATGTATTACTAGAACTATATATTTATATTTTGTAAATAATTTCCATAATGTTAACATCCCAGGGCTCAGATAAGACTAAAGCCAGACTGAGAGTTGTCAGAGAATGACTGAATCCATTCCAATATA